GAAATGACTCTTTGCTCTTTCAACTTCTAAAATACATAGCAAAACATCTCAGTTCTATTATATCTCCTCACTTTCTTTATGTTACTGGAGAAAAAAAATGATGTTACTTCAAATGAAATATGTGCAAGGATAAAGGAAAACAATTTGCTATTTATCTTAACGATAGTCTGTTGATAACATCTCACTGTTTGTGAATACAATATTACAACATGGCAACCACTTCTCTCCATTCTCTCTTGAGAAGTGGAAAAGAAAATCATAGAATCATAGAATATCAGGGTTGGAAGGGACCTCAGGAGGTCATCTAGTCCACCCGCTGCTCAAAGCAGAGCCAATCCCCAACTAAATCATCCCAGCCAGGGCTTTGTCTAGTCTGACCTTAAAAATATCTAAGGAAGGAGATTCCACCACTTCCCTAGGTAATGCATTCCAGTGTTTCACCACCCTCCGAGTGAAAAAGTTTTTCCTAATCTCCAGCCTAAACCTCCCCCACTGCAACTTGAGACCATTACTCCTCGTTCTGCCATCTGCTACCACTGAGAACAGTCTAGATCCATCCTCTTTGGAACCCCCTTTCAGGTAGTTGAAAGCAGCTATCAAATCCCCCCTCATTCTTCTTTTCCTCAGACTAAACAATCCCAGTTCCCTCAGCCTCTCCTCATAAGTCATGTGTTCCAGTCCCCTAATCATTTTTGTTGCCCTCCGCTGGACGTTTTCCAATTTTTCCACATCCTTCTTGTAGTGTGGGGCCCCAAACTGGACACAGTACTCCAGATGAGGCCTCACCAATGTCAAATAGAGGGGAATGATCACGTCCCTCGATCTGCTGGCAATGCCCCTACTTATACATCCCAAAATGCCATTGGCCTTCTTGACTCATATCCAGCTTCTCGTCCACTGTAACCCCTAAGTCCTTTTCTGCAGAACTGCTGCCTAGCCATTCGGTCCCTAGTCTGTAGCGGTGCATGGGATTCTTCCATCCTAAGTGCAGGACTCTGCACTTGTTCTTGTTGAACCTCATCAGATTTATTTTGGCCCAATCCTCTAATTTGTCTAGGGTCCTCTGTATCCTATCCCTACCCTCCAGCGTATCTACTACTCCTCCCAGTTTAGTGTCATCTGCAAACTTGCTGAGGGTGCAATCCACACCATCCTCCAGATCATTAATGAAGATATTGAACAAAACCGGCCCGAGGACTGACCCTTGGGGCACTCCACTTGATACCGGCTGCCAACTAGCCATTGATCACTACCCGTTGAGCCCGACAGTCTAGCCAGCTTTCTATCCACCTTATCGTCCATTCATCCAGCCCATACTTCTTTAACTTACTGGCAAGAATACTGTGGGAGATCATGTCAAAAGCTTTGCTAAAGTCAAGGAACAACACGTCCACTGCTTTCCCCTCATCCAAAGAGCCAGTTATCTCATCATAGAAGGCAATTAGATTAGTCAGGCATGACTTGTCCTTGGTGAATCCATGCTGACTGTTCCTGATCACTTTCCTCTCCTCTAAGCACTTCAGAATTCATTCCTTGAGGACCTGCTCCATGATTTTTCCAGGGACTGAATTGAGGCTGACTGGCCTGTAGTTCCCAGGATCCTCCTCCTTCCCTTTTTTAAAGATGGGCACTACATTAGCCTTTTTCCAGTCATCCGGGACCTCCCCCGATCACCATGAGTTTTCAAAGATAATGGCCAATGGCTCTGCAATCACATCCGCCAACTCCTTTAGCACTCTCGGATGCAGCGCATCCGGCCCCATGGACTTGTGCTCATCCAGCTTTTCTAAATAGTCCCAAACCACTTCTTTCTCCATAGAGGGCTGGTCACCTTCTCCCCATGCTGTGCTGCCCAGTGCAGTAGTCTGGAGCTGATCTTGTTTGTGAAGACAGATGCAAAGAAAGCATTGAGTACATTAGCTTTTTCCACATCCTCTGTCACTAGGTTGCCTCCCTCATTCAGTAAGGGGCCCACACTTTCCTTGACTTTCTTCTTGTTGCTAACATACCTGAAGAAACCCTTCTTGTTACTCTTAGTAAGGGGTTTATTTTATTCCTGCTAATGTGCAGCTAGCAACTGTTGAATATCATCTGAGATGATATTCAGAGCAAATTTTATATCTAAATTTGTATTAATTTAATTTTAAAACTGTATATATACACTGCAGGATCTCAGAGTACAATGATTACACTCAAGAAAAATTAAGGTTAATTACAATAAGATGAGGATCATCATCTAGTCAAAAGATTAAGAGAGAATTTTATAGCACTGATATTTAGAACAGGTTTGGGAGACTGAAAGGTAACTATTGTTTGTGCTTCAGAGGGAAAATGGCAGCAGAAAGAGTGAGATCATCTCTAACCAAGGTTTCAGTCCAATAGAATGAATACCTGCCATAAACTTTGCATGACCATGCAGGGGAGAGACCGGTTTTTTAGTATCATATCTGCTAGCACTGCTGTATTTCTATGTTACGAAACAAGGCTCTTGCAAAACAGCAAAAGCTATTGATAATTTGACAAAAGTGCCTTGGTCTCTGCACAGCAGGAGGGGGAAAAATATCTAGGCTGTTATAATTGGTATGAAATGTTCCTACTATATATTCCCTTTTGCCCCATTTTTTTAAAAGGTGAAGAGGGAAATCACTTTTAATATTTCTTTTAATTCATATACCCAAATGGTGGCCAGTTTTCAGATTTTAATCTTCACTTTAACAAAGAGCAGTTGGGCAGCTATTGACTATGAAACACAGCAGTCAACTACCTTGTAAATTAGAAGCTGCGGTAGTAAAAATGGATTTGTATATCACCGGGAGTAGAGAGAGTGTCTGCCTTGTAAATTTAATTAAACAGCAGGTGCAAAATCAGGTCATATGGCTTTGATGTGCCCCATGTGAGGATGACAACTAGACAATGACTCTAATATGAAGAAATTTGCATACATTTGCATTGGATTGGATGGAACACTGTAGCTCTCACCTATTTTTTGTGTTTCATCTCTGGGAAGTTGAAGATTTGAATGAACGGTGCCTATTTAGTTACTGCAACTAAATACAAGCAATGCTTTCATTTGCTGTAGTAGGGAACATATGGGTTATGAGTCCTTTATTACAATTTTAAAGAGAATGCTTACTAGATAATCAAACATTTGAAAATGCAGCAGAGATGGTTGTAATGATGGAAGAAGCAAAATGGGAGGGAGCTGGGGGAGACCCATCTCTGAGTTTTAATCTTTCCTGGATGAGCGTTTGTTCACTAGAGCATTAATGCAAATCTGGATTTTTGGTCTCTGTCCAGGGGGTGTCACAAACAATTCTCTTTGCTTTAGTAGTTAATATTGTAAACAATGAAATTATGTAGGTCGGAAGTCTTTGCAGATCTGGCAATTAGTGTCTCATATAAATTGTGTTAAAAATGCATTTTATTGCCCTACTGGACAAAGTTAATATAAATGGCTAGACATTATCTATCATAATCACTTTGAAAATGGTTTAATGGCAAGTACTTTTATGCACCTCAAGATTTCTTCCTTAGGTGTTTAAAAAATCATAAACAATTGCTGTCATTTGCTATATATATTTCTTTGCAAAACTCTGAATTCCATCACTGACTAGTTTACAGCTTTTACAATGGCAAGCTGCATAGGGTCAGGGGCTTTTCAAACATGATTCAATGGGTATAAAGCAACCCTACCCACAGAGAGAAAGGGAATTACGCAAAGGCTGAATCTTGTCCATTAAGTATTTCAAACCCGGCATGGATCAGCAGTGACCAAAAACTACCCATTTGATGGCTGTTCAGGGAACTTATGAACATGAATGTGAAAATGAAATGAGATGTGTCTAAAGTAAAGGCTACAGCGACCCTTAAAGAAATACTGATCCGCATAAGAAGACAAGCAAGGTGGAGAAATTTGCACTGCTGCTCATGCTCTTCTTTGTTCTCTCTATATAAGAGAAGACTTCAGACTCCAGCACTGTTAATCTAGCAGCTTCTTAGGTAGCAGCATTATTATCGTTAGCAAAACAGTAAGTGCAGGAAGACTCTAATTGCAGTGTATTTTACTGACAATCGACACAGAGTCAGATCCTCAGCTGATGGAAATTGGCATAGCTCCACAGAAGTCAATGCAGCTACGTCAGTTTTGTCCAAGCTGAGGATCTGGCCCCCAATACTCTGAGTAATTCAGATCAGATATTTTTAACTACAACTATTTCTCAAACCCAACATATCACACACATCACTGAATACACAAGGCTACACTAGTGCTGTCTCTTCTAACTGCAGTTTCCCTTCACAGCCATCCCCAAGTTACTGAGAATGGACTTTAGCTGACAGTCACTTACAACTTGTATCTCACTCATATCAGTGGTTTTCTGAATGCAGGTTTAGTAGATGTAATTTTACTCAGTATAATATACCATTACAGCTTGATTTTATTCTGCAAACATAAGTGTTCTTGGGAGCCACATGTGATAGTTTCTTGTACACCAAGAAGAATTCTCCAAGGTCCAGAAATGTCATGTGTGATTAGAGTGCAGAGAGTGGGCAGACCAAAGGGGGTGATGGGCATTTGTCCCCACTATTGGCCCTAAAGGGATTCTAAAGAAAAGGCAATGCAACCAGAGGATCCCTTTAAAGTAATACAGCTGTGGGAAAGCTCCACTTTTAAGTGGATATCATGCGACAGTGACAATGTTTGTCATTTCTGATTACTCAGAGACCTAAATGTCAGCTTCTTAGACAGCTTGCTAGCTTATGGAAAGACAACATCATAGGGCCTTGATGTTTTTAAATTGATGGATTTGGTTCCTTTTTTAGATGCTATTCACAGAGCAACATCATTTTTCCATGTTGATTAAAGAATATCCCACCTTCCAGAAATGATGCCTCAGCCCTTCATAATTAGGAAACCTGCTGTTCAGTCTGTGTTGTGCCCACCTCTGTGCCTAATCCACAAAAGAAATAAGTATGCTATAGATAACCACTAGAGGACTTACCGCTTTAGCTGAAACTGTAGAGGCTCATTCTCTTACTGCTGGATCTCCCAGGCTCAGCTCATGGAGACAACCAAGACAAAAGTTACATATACAGTTTCCAGCTCTATATAAACACAAAGCAATGATCTGAAACTTCGCTTAAGAAAAAAATAATTATGTTATTTCTTTCTGCTTCCTCTCCTCCCCCTCCCCTCCATTTTTTTTTTTTTTGGAAGTGCACAATATATTTAAAAAGCATGAAACAAAACTCATTCATTTTATCATTTTTCAATTTCATTTTTTAAAATAACCTGAAAAAGTAACCCATGGAAGCAAACATCAGAGGTAACCACAAACATGATTAATTATGAGATCAATAAACAATTTAGCAGTTCTGAGGCAACATTCAAATGACCTTCCAGAAGAAAGCGCCAGCAGCGTATATTAAAGTACCTGTAAAAATCTTTTTCGAATAGTTAACATGCTAAGTGAATTCAAGCAGGTTGGGTAATGTTTATTTAGCTGTGTTAAATGCATTGTAAGGTTACTCCAAAAGATCACAGAGAAACTGAATAATTAGGAGAACAAAAGCACCAAAAAGACACATATATATTGTAAAAGGGATAGTAATAAAAAAAAAGACCGGAAGATCAAACAGAGTCAAAAGTTAGCTACATTTCACCAAACATTGCGCTTTCCTGCTATGGGCCAGATTGTGCCAGGGTCTTGTGCAAGTGCACAAGGAGGGGAGGGTGCAAGGAGCCCTTTTCAAGTCCGGCCAGTTATACATCTGCCCAATTGACAGCATCCTGCTAAAAAATGTGCAAAGATTAAAAATAGCAGGTGCGGCCACTCCATCCCTAGCCAGCCATAGAAAGGAGTGCACATTGTACTCTCATAAGAGGTGATGCCACAGGCAGGCTATTCTCTTGTGAGTTAAGTAGCTTAAGGTGGCATTGTTGCTGAACAAATGCCTCCTAGAGGAACCCCTGGAGCAGTGTGGATGCAAACAACCCCCAATGTTGACTTGTGCCAATGTCTAGTGAGGTTTTTATAAATCACCCATGACCATAGAATGTGAGTTCCCCCCAATAGTCCTGCCATTACCATGGGGGGGACAGGAAACAGTGGCATAGAGCATGCTATACTGCTTCTATGCCAGCCAGTAGCTCCACTATGCAAGAGGAATCCTCAGCTCTCATTGTTGAGGCAGCTTTCCAGCCTCTCTTGCTACCAGAGCAGTGCAAAAATACCCAAGCAGGGATTGAGAATCTGGCCCACTGTTACCATTTGCGTAAATAACTACACAATGTGTGAGGTAGTGGAGAATCAGGCCCTGTACTCTGAGAGACTTCTACTAGTACATGTGCTAATGGGATGCTAGGAGTAATAAGCACAATAAAATACACATTTTATCTGACACTGCTGATCTTAAATTATATGCAAATTAACCTAGTATTTACTATTGAATCAAATAATTTGAATGTACAGTGCATGAGATTTGCAGTTACCTTACATTTCCAGAAATGTAAGATCAGCAAGCAAGAGGGATGGTGATGGCCCATAAAATTTGCCAATTGCCTTAGATAACTAAGAACCAGGTTCAAATATGCTTACTCACACTGAATAGGACCTTATATTACAACTAGTCCCATAAAAATTAATGAGGGTATTCCAAAAGTAAAATACTACTCAATGTATGCAAAGATGTAATAATATAGCCCTAAATGAGTATTTTCATTGTGCCATACATAGCCATCAATTTTTAAGAAAAAACACTGACTTACTTCAATGGGAAGTTCTGATCAAAATCCAATGTTACAATGTGGAACAGTATTTTCAGCATTCAGAATATTTCTTAGAGTTTATGTGAGGGAAAAACAAGGGAGTACTGTGGGTATTGAGATGACCGTTCATAATTACCTTTGGAAAACCTAGCGAGTTTTAAAAGACCATCTATGTATATTAAGCAAGGTGGAAGCAGTAAGCCCAATTTTTCATAATTTACCCATATTCTCCATAATGTATGTACTTTTCTTCTCTAAGATTACTCAGAAGTGAATGCTTCCCTTACTATTCCTACCTCAACCAGGGGAAACACCAGATGAGGGCAACTTACTGTTATTCATTTGTATTGCATTATAAGAACATATAGCAAGAGACAGTCCCTGTCCCAAAGAGCTTACAATCTAAATAGACAAAATAAACAGAGGTGGAAGTAAGGAAGTATCATCCCCATTTTACCAAGAGAGAACAGAGACACAGAGATTAAGTGACTTGGCTCAAGGTCATATAGGAAATCTATGGCAGAACTGGGAATTGAAACCATGCCTCTTGATTCCAAGTCTACTGCCTTAACCACAAAATCATCCTTCCTCTCCAGCCTCCCACACAGCCTGTATATCTTAAAAAATAATAAATGCGATGTAACTAGGAAAATATACCAATACAGGATTCATCATCATCAAACACTCTATAGTCTATTGAGGACCATTGCACCAGCCAGAGTGACTACAGTAGATGACATCATATCAGGAATTGTAGAGTGATGTTACCGGATCTGGCTCAACTTAGTAAAACACAGGTATGTTAGATTCTGAACTTTGTCTCAGCTCAGAGACATTTTTTGTCAATGGGCAAGACCTAGTCATTGGAGGATGTCCATTGTTTGAAATCCAAGTCCAGCATTGGTTATTGAGGTGCCTAATCAGAGGCCCAGGACAGACAAACCGTAGGAAACAAATAACGTCAGAAGCGAAGCAGTGTTGCCATTTGGGGAACCTGAAGCACAAGGGATCTATCATGGTTTCACACTCAATTCAATCACAGCCAGTCACAGCACTGAAATCCCCATGTGCTGGCAATGTGTCATGCAGCTGAGATGACCAGATTTTTTGCTGCTAGCTGATGGAAGAAATGTGTCCTTTTCCACAGGTGACATGTCTTCTTTTGGCATATAGGCCACAAAGACAGATAAGTAGGCACGGTGGTGTTGAACCTGAACATAAAGTAAGTGTGAGGACATGGGGTTCCGTGTAGTTAAGGTCTGTGCTACAGGTTGTCTAATAAGTGCTACACCTGAGTACAGTCTAGACCAGTGGTTCTCAAAGCTGGTCCACCGCTAGTTCAGGGAAAGCCCCTGGTGGACTGGACCAGTTTGTTTACCTGCCACGTCCGCAGGTTTGGCCGATCACAGCTCCCACTGGCTGTGGTTTGCCGCTCCAGGCCAATGAGGGCTACGGGAAGGGTGGCCAGCACGTCCCTTGGCCTGCACTGCTTCCCACAGCCCCCATTGGCCTGAAGCAGTGAACCGTGGCCAGTGGGAACAGTGATCAGCTGAACCTGCAGACGCGGCAGGTAAACAAACCGGTCCGGCCTGCCAGGGGCTTTCCCTGAACAAGCGGCAGACCGGCTTTGAGAACCACTGGTCTAGACCCCGGAATGGAGGAGGGTTGCTCCTTTAATAGTGATTTCATCACTTTGTGTCAGGCAGGCCCCTGTGATGCTGGCAATTACAATCTTGTAGCCAGTGAGTTCTCTGACAAGGACTGTCTTGTACCCAGTAACATTTGGTGTCAACATGTTCCATGTGGTGGCACAGAACTCACCTCTGAGGTCTGAGTTGGACTTCAAAAGAGTTGTGGCCTTCCCTGAGCAGGGCTTGGGTCATGCCCGTCACATGCATGCAAAACACACCCCTCCTTCTGGAGTCAGTAATAACAAGGGCTTTAGCCCTGATGCTTTATTGCAGTCTGTCCCATCATTTCTCTCTGCCACCTTGGGACTGGGGAGATGTAGAGGGCTTTTGGGGCTGCAGCGGGGAATCTCCATTCCCAAGAACTCTTCCACCATATTCCATTGGTTCCTGAATGTGTTTCAAAGATCTAACTCCTTTTCCACCTTGTATATCCATGCATTGACAGTCATAGCTCATCCACCTTCACCACCAATGGGGTCCATTGTTGGTCACTATAAACTCTGGTTTAGTAGCTTGTGGCCAGTAAGCAGACTATTGATGGTCTATTATTCCAATGGTGATAGCTGTTCTTTTCAAACGCCCAATCATCCTTTTTACCAGCTGCAAGCGGTGTTACACTGCGCCGCTAGAATATGGCACCGAGGGTTAGTGCTTTTTTCCATTTCATTTGGAGCAAACGTGTGTAAATACTTTATTAAAATAAAAAACACATGAAGTGAAAGCTGTTCCCTACTGATTGATTTTTCAAAAGCTCCCTAGACTGATTCAGCTACAGATGTTTGCAAAATGATTGGATGTAAAGTGGGCTTAATTCATAAAAGCAATAAAATGCTGCTTATTGACTGAACAGATGAACTAGCTAAGGGGACATAATTCGGAGTGTTCTTATTGGAAATGCTTTGAAGAAACATAACGATGGTGCAGAGAAAGAGCTTTATTAGACACGGTGAATATATTTTCTGCAGAACATTCTGGAAGATTTGAAATACTAAATTTTTTTTTCCTGAATTGTGGGCTGTATAATTGTACAGTGGAGTAAACTTGTTGTGACTTCTCAAACTACTTAACTTAATTCACAGTTATTACAATCTTGTAATAAACAGATTTAAAGCAATTTTCAAGGACAAAAAAGAAAAATAAAACATTACAAGGCTGACAAGCCTATGAAAGGAAGGAAATTCAGTCATTTAAAATTCTGCCCTACTTTGCCTACATGAAGAGTTTCCAGGGAATACAGATTCTGTGCATTTGAGACAGTCAGTCCTATAGGCACAATGAGGTAAAGCCTAGATAACCTGGAATGGGAGGATTAGAGTGAGGAAACATTGGCACTCATTTCTAAGATTCCCTTAGTGAAGCTTTCTGCAAATCACACGATCCAGTATAAAAGGACTTGTGAGATGGATGCAGAGGGAAGGCCTTTTAATCCTACATATACTTGTTTTCTGCAAAGATGGCACATACAGGAAATCTGTACATTGGCAGACTACAGTTATACTCACACAGCATTCATTACAAGGTCATTCAACACTGCTAGAAAACAATGCCTGGGCCAGTGCATTACAGAAAGACTTATTACTGGGCCTCATTGTCAAAATGC